CTGAAATATGAGCCATTCCATTAGTTACAGTAACATTCCATAGTCACATTCCACACAGAATTTTACTTCAATAAATCTTTTTTTTTCAGGATAGTATCTGTACATTGAAAATGCATGGAATCATGGAGCTGTTTAAGCCATGGAATCCAACCTCAATGTAGTAATCCAAAAAAAAGCATCCTTGACAGATGGCTATCTAGCCTTCAGCCATCAGCTTTCTGAATAATTAAGCCCACTGTTGAAGTGATCTTAGAACATCCTGTTTTTTCCTAACATTCCATCAGATTCTGCTTTTCTGTAACTAAAATCCTTTATTTTAGTTCTGGTTTCATGGTTTCTAACATAAGCCTCTCTATCTCCTTTCAACACTTTCAAATCATATTTTTGCATTCTTCTGCATCCTGCAACAATAGCTTCATGACTCTCTTCTGTATAACATTTTTGCATGTATTTGAAGAGTAGTATCATAATTCCAGCCCAGTTAGGTGTCAGCATCTAGTCACCCTTGGCTGATTTTAAAAACTAAACAGGAACTAACATATTTGATACTTGTTAGAAAGACCACCAGGAAAGAACAGGGCTATAGACTACACTTGGAAAAAAGAATCCTAGAAGAAGGTAATGAAAACCTATTTCCATATTGTTACTAAGAAAACTCCATAGATGTTACTAAGTTACCAAGAGCTCAAAGCAATGGAGACGTTATTTTTTATTACAGTATACCCCCCTCAAGACTTCTTGTCTGAAGGCTAAACAGTGCCTATTTTAATCTCTCTTCACAAGATTTTGTTCCCAGTCTCCTTATTGCCCTTATCACCCTTTTCTGAACTTTCACCAGAACTGTACTCCAAGAATTATTACTTTGCAGAATAAAGTAAAATTATTACTTTCCTGATTTGGAAATTATAATTCTGTTAATGTAGCCTAAAACTACATTTGCTTTTTTTTTCTCTCAGTATTCTCATAGAGAATACTATGGTACATATTCTGTTAGCAGGTGAGTACTATTCCATTATCTTCTTATCAAACCAGATATTCCACAACCTATAACTGTGCATTTTATTTTTATTTCCTAAGTGAAGAACTTTGCATTTGTCTCTGTTGCATTTAATTCTATTACCTTCAGAACGAATGCTCTTTTTTTTTCTTGTTAAGTGTTTAACCCAATTTTGTGTTACTTGCAAATTTGATAAGCATCCTTTCCAAATAATAAGAATATTGATCATGAGACAACCCAGGACTAAACTCTTTAACATCCTATACAATTCCTAAATTCAAGTTTGAAGAACTATTGATTAGTATTCTTTGACGTGAACATGATTTTTGAGTCAAAGGCTCAATGTCAGAGTATTGGTAAAACTTTTGCTAAAATCAAAACATATTATAAATGTAGCATTGCCACAATCTATTAAAGAAATTATTTTATCAAAAACTAGTTCAGTCTGGCAAATTTAATAAATTCATGCTGATTCTGGCAATTGTTTTCAAAGGGTTTACAGATTGACTTATGTTCTGCTGTACAATCTTTTGTGTGTCATATAATCTCTGGATCTTCCTTTTTCCTCTTTTTGAAGATAGGGACAACATTCTCTCTCTCCCAGTTACCTGGTAATTCACCAGGATTTTTTAAATATAATATATAAAGGTTCAGTTCGTTCTTTTATTATCCTGGAATGCAACTTATCTGGCCCCAGCATTTAAACTCAAATAGGCATTCCCTGATTATACTGCTATCACTTTCAAGGTTTGATCATGTTCCTTTATCCTGGTCTTAATTATTTCCTAGCAGAATAAATTTTGGTGGAGAAAATTGAACCAAAATAGAAGTACAGGTGGTCCTTGCTTAACAACCACTTGTTTAGTGACTATTCAAACTGCAATGGCACTGAACAAGTGGTACTTATGACCATTCCTTGGAGTTCTAGCCGTCGCAGGGTCCCAAGGTCACATAATTGCCATTTGTGAACTTCTTTGCCAGCTTCTGACAAGCCAAGTCAATAGGGAAGGCAGCAGAAGGTCACAAATGGCAACCACATGTCATTCTTGCTAAATGACCCATGGTGATTTGCTTAACAGCAGCAACTGGGAGTGCCGGAATTGCTGTCACTAAGCGGCATGGTCACATGACATTGCGCTTTATGATTGCGTCACTTAGCAGTGGCAATTCCGGTCCCAATTGCTGTAGTTAACCAAGGACTATCTGTAACTGCATTTTGTTACTAGTTAGAAACTGCCATTTTCACTGAGCAGCTGATACACTGATTTTCTCATACTTTTATTTTGAACATATTTAAAGAAGCCCTTTTTACTGTTCTTAGTATTCTTTGCTAATCTCAACTCATTCTAAGTGTTAGCTTTCCTTATATCCTCTTTATAAAGGCTTAATACAAATCATTACACCCTCATATAAACTACAAAGTGCCAAAAGTGGCATGGTTGAGTAAGCAGCATGTACCACCCCAAGGCTGGTGTCAAGGGTTATATGTAATGCAAAGTCTGTATGTTTGCTCTTTAACAGTGCTGCTGATAGTCTGGTCTACCTAGTAGGGCTGACATGATGCTTAAGGAAGTGATAGTTGGCCCCTCCTCAAGAAGCCATCACTTGGACCCAACCATGTTCGACAATTTTCATCCTGTCTCCAACCTTCTCTTTTTAGGGAAGGTATCAGCCTTACAAGGTAGGCTAGACTAAGAAATCATGCCATGTAGGTCAAGACCACTTTTATGTAACAGCTATAATACAGAATCTTGCAAGTCTGAATGTGCTGCCCCCACTTCCCTTTATAACTGTGTGAACTAGGGAAGGGCTTTTCTGAGATGTTTTCTCAAGTTACTTTCTTGACCTATAGGTACTATAGATTCAGAAAACCCTGGAGGAAGCAGATTGTCTGGATCCCTTTCAATTAGTTTTCAGTCCTGAGCATGGGACTGAAAGAGCATTGATCACATTTGTGGATGACCTCTGATAAGAAAGAGGTGGTATATCCATTCTAGCTTTTCAATCTCAGCAGCTTTTGATACCATTGATCATAGTTTCTTTCTGGACTAGGTTGGGAGTGGGGACACAGAGTTATGCTAGTTCCCCTCCCTCCTCCAAGTTGGTTCCAGTCAGTGTTGATAGCGGTGAGAGATCTAGCTCACAGCTTTTTCTCTGTGGGGCTCCTCAGGGCTTAACACTCTTCCCACTTTGGTTTAGCATGCACAAGAAATTGCAGGGTGAGCTTATTCGACAGAATGGGGAGAGATATCAGTATGCTGATGATATCCAACTTCACAGCTCTTACCTGGATCAACCAATTGATGCTATGGGGGCTTTGTCTTGGTGTCTGGAAGCTGTGAGAGTCTGGATGGAGAAGTACAGGCTTCAGTACTGTTAGCCCTGCAAGGTAGTCCAGACAAGAAGTACAACTTCTCAGGCCTTCTCGGCTGTGGCCCCCGTCCTTTGGAATATTCTGCCCCCGGAGTTGAGATTGGCCCCTTCGCTCCTGGCCTTCCAGAGGGATTTGAAGACCTGGCTCTTCCACTTGGTCTGGGGTGAGGAGGGAAGACATGTGGGGGGATGGCTAGTCCCTTAGAAGCCTTTTGTCTGCAGCTCTGGAAACCATCAACCTCTTGGACTTTTTCTTTCTTGTGGTAACGCTTTGTATAATTTTTATGTTTTCTGTAATTTTATATATATTTGTTTTAATGGATCATGTGAGCCGCCCAGAGTCCCCCATTGGGGGAGATGGGTGGAGATAAACCTAATAAACAAACAAACAAACAAACCAGGAGTACTAGCTCTATATTGTTAGATTACATTAACAGAATCTTGCAAAACTGAAAATCTTTCCTCCTTTCCTTTCATTCTCTGGAAAACTAAGGAGAGTCCCTTCTGAAACGTTTCCCATGCCATCCCCAACTTCTGTGGGCTGACACCATTTTTACATTCCAATTGTCTAGTCTGTGGCTGTCCTCCTGTCTCCCGAGGTCATTCCCACATACCATTACAGTATAATCCTAGCAAGATTGAGTGGCTTTGGGTTTTAGGGCTCCCTGGATCCAGTGGTTTTCCATCTTTAGTTCTGGATGGTGTTGAACTATCCCAAACAGATCTGGTGCACAATTTGGGGGTCTTCCTGGACTCCTAGCTTCTGTTCAAGGAACAGGTGGCAGCTGTGGCCAAAAGGCCTTTCCTCAACTTCGTCTTGAGTCACTCGGACTCTTTCCTGGTTCAGGAGGAATGGTCACTCATGGTTTGCTCACACCCCAAGGGGAAGTACTGCAACATGTTCTATATGTGGCTGGCCTTGAAAAATATCTGGAAGCTCCAGCTGGTCCAGAATGTAGCAACACGGGCAGTTACAGGTGCACGCATGTTACATCTCTGCTCCATGAGCCATACTAGTTTCCAGTATGCTTCCAGGTACAATTCAAGATGTTGGTTTTCACCTATAAAGCCCTCCATAGCATGAGGCCAGTTATTTGCCACACTGCCTCTAATTGTTTCTACCTGTCCCATTAGATTTGGCAGGAGATGCTGATAGTCCCATTGATTAAAGAATGTCATCTTGGGGGGGCCAGAAAGAGGGACTTCTGTTGCAGTTCCTGTCCTTTGGACCACCATACCACCTGAGATTAGATTGGCCCCGATCCTGCCAGCTTTTTGAAAAGCTTTAAAGATTTGGATGTGTGGGGAATGGGGGATCAGGAGGTTAATTGGAGTCCATGGGATGTTCTTAGTTTATTAGACTTTACCTCAGCTATCATTATAGGTTTTATCTACTGACTGATTTTTGTTGTCATTTGTATGATGTTTTTATATGTTGTTAGCTGCTCAGAGTTGCTATGGTGAGCTGGGCAGCTATATAAATTGAATCAATCATCTGTGCTGATGGCCCAAACCTAACAGCTCTAGAAAAAACATGCACAAAAAATTATTTTGCGCTCTTTAATATACTTAATGTCTAAATAATTCTAGCCCGAGTTAGATGTATTATTAAACATCATTCCACTCTGAGTTTCAGATTTTCAAGTGTGTATTTATTTGACTAACAGAACTCTTTTACAAAAATCTAAAGCTGGCTTGAATTAATCACATTGAAAGAATAATTAGCACTACCTTTTACAAACTGAAGCTAAGCAAAAATGAAAAATGTCACATTGCAATACTTTACGTGTATCAAATGAGTAAACTGAAATCCCATTAACATTCCTTAATGATTAGCAGCAGCATACAGGTAAGCATTTTACGCACTGTGATTTAGCTCATATGAGGAATTTTGGACTCATCTGTCTTGAAAGGATTGAGAATGTGACTCCTAAAGACTCCCTGAATGATAAAGTTACTGAGCAAACAGAAGTAAACTAGAATTTGAACTGAAAGGAAAAAAATTAGCATTAGAACAGAATCAACTACAGAAATGGTATCCAGTTTTATTTTATTTTGAACAAAACAAAGAAAGCTTAGTTCTCATTGTCTGGCTATTGGTGTAGCACATTCCAGTCATTCCTTTTTGCAGTTTTCATCCTAAAAGTTCCCTCAGCTCTGCCATTCTTCTAAAACAGCCCTTCATCACCTCTTTAGATATAATTTAATGACACTTGTTTCACGGATTCCTTTGCTATTTAAAAAAAAATTATTAGAATGACACTTCAAAGCAGGAAAAAAAAAAGAGGCTAATAGTGTCAATTTCCATAATTTCACAGACAGTCTTTCTTTTAATACCCTCCAAGTTACCATAAAACTAAGAAACATAAGTCTCAACATAAAATGTCCTAATTTTTCATTTTTACCTGCCGTTATAGAATAATTGCTGTACCAAGAAGAGGGAATATCAGTTGCTTTAGAAACTGCTTTGCTTAGTTGGGTAAAATCTTCCCCAGGCTTTTAATAATAAGGCTATGATGAAGCAGGAGTAGAGGAGTGTATGGAGGATAGTTATCATGAAAAGGATTATTTCATAAGAAGTTGCAGAATATGGGTTTCAGCAAGGCTGTGGGTAAAAGTTAGCTTCAAGGGATTTCATTCATAGCAATATAGCACAGGTTTTAGCTACTGTAACCATGACCTAGATGGGAATAGCCTTTGCTAACAAAGCAAGGACACAGAACATCACAGAACGTTCATGCAGTTAGTGAAACTGTATTAAGTATTGAATACCAAGGTCCAGATTCTGATTATATTCTGAGAGAAGAGTGTGTGCTATACTTGTTAAAGTTTAATTGAGCTAGCTAGGTAACTACTATGCACAACTTCCATTATAACAAGTGGCATTAATATGATTCTGTTAACCAGACTATTAGTGCAATATCTGAACTAAATCAAGGGACAAGGGATTGTAATGATTTTAGAAAACAGCAATTGATGTTAAGCCTCTTTCATGTGTTTGCTGGGTAGATAGGGCAGGAGAAGAAATACATTAAAATAAGGAACATTAATTTTGGGATGTTGAAGGGAAAGCCAACTGAGATTGAATAACTTGCCATTAAATCCCTTTAGCTGACCTGACCTGGTATGGAAAGGAATGGATTGTATTGCTAGGTAATTGCTTGCCCACTCCTGTCTTCTACTTGTTCCCATGTGGCAAACTTATGGACACACCAGTTATAGGAATGGAAATTGAGGGAATATGGTAAAGCACCAACCACCAGATGGCTTTAAAACCCTCGCTCTTTTCTCATGATTGAATAGTAATTATCTAATAATAACGGTGCAAGAAATTATGACATGAATACGTGGTTTGTTGTCCAGTTCTTTTTCCTGTTTCCTGCTTTTGCCAGACACAAATTCCTTCCGCAGCAACTCTTTCAGTCCAATCCATCTATAAGGCTAGCAATGCATAGATTCACTTTCCATAAACACTTTCATCACTGTAAGCCACATAGAGAAAGTAATCTTCCTCATGATTATCCTGATAAAATAAAAAAGGGGGGAGGGAGAAATAGAGATCATAATCAGCTAAATATATAGAAGCAGTGACAGCATGCCAGACTTGGCATGTAACAGTTCTAGCTTATAATAATTTAAAATTTTCTTTTAAAAGAATTTCATTTTTTTAAAAAAGGAAAAGCAGGAACAGATTGGTAAAGCAGTAAAGTAATCTATAAGGAAAAGTTCCAGCCAGAAGCACAGGCTAAAAGAGAGGAAAGGTTTTTTTCTTCAATGTTCTAATGTGTCCTATTCTTATACTTTTTTCACATTGAAATCCTGTTGTTCCTTACAAATCCAGTAGGTGGCACCACCTGGCCAACCATGGCTGATCTTGAAAAAGCTAAAGCAGATTGGATCTAGTTAGTACTTGGAAGTATGAAGTACCAGAAAATCCCAGCACTGTACAGCAGAGTGTAAAGTGAGAAAAAAACATCCTGGAAGAAGGCAGTAGCAAACCACTTCCATATCATGCCATGAAAACAGTACAGATGTGTCTACATATGTCATCAGAGGCAGAGTCAAGATTACTTTTTAAATATATACTAGCATATAACTTTTTAAAAGAAATATCTATACGACAATACATTGGCGTACAAAGTCTTTAGATTAGAGATCCCAACTTGAGCATGCAAAGAGAGGACTCTTTGGAAAAGACCCTGATGCTGGGAAAGATTGGAGGCAAAAGGA